TAAGGAATAGAAAGTAAAGATACTTGTGTGAAAATGTAATGAGTAGAAGTCAAAAGTAGGCGCAAAAAGAAGTAATGGAGTAAAATATAGATACCTAAAAAGTGTACTTAAGTACAGTAACGAAGTATTTGTACTTCGTTACTTGACACCTGTGCTCTTTACCAAATAAAACACAAACTCTATTTCTGCATGAATTTTGAATTTATCATCTTTGATGTTAGTATATTGATGTGCATAATTAACTACAGTGTTTTTGTTGTCAAGTGATTGTTAATATATGAAAAATTTAAATGTTTTGAATATTTTACTTGAGAGTATTACTGTTGCCATAATCTGTATTAGAGGGAAATAAATGGTAGGGGTGGCCACAGGGGTGGCCAATGATTGGCTAAGGGTGGCCATGGCCACCACTGGCCCCCCCATCTAGCTCCGCCTCTGGTCGCAATGTAAACAATATGTGCACTACAGCATCGAACAACTGCGATGTTCTCATTTTCAGTGGGACTTCAGACTTTTAAAATAAAGACAAATTCAATGGAGCATAATAATACAGATGTGCCAAAAGTGCTAAATTGTAACATACATTGATTACATGGTTATCCTAAAACATGTTACATATAATGTCAAGATTTTACATCAAGACTAAATTACAAGTACACATCTGTTAATGTTATAGTATTTTCCTATAATGCATGGATGATGGCATACACTTTGATGCTGCTTCTGTGCATTAGCCTTTAAAAATGTTGCTTGTTTTCAATATAACATGCAATATATTTCAGAACACTTGTTCAAATGAGAAATACAACAAACACTACAAAAAACGACAGCATCATACACTTAATGACATTTCACAGTGAATTACTTTCCATTTACTCTATTTTGTATTTTATAACGTTAGACATACTATACTATCCTATAAAATAGCATACTATAATATACTATAAAATACTATACTATACGCTAGGATTAATCTGTGTATATAATCTGTGTATATATGGATTTTCTTAATTAATTCATCCACTGACTGTGAAATTAACCAGTGAAATATCCTCCCACAGCCAGTAACTGCTGTTAAATGCTAAATAGGCAACTGCGCATCTCCGTGGGAGTGGGGAGTACGTGGAGGCCGGTGGCTTCACTTTTTTGGGCAATACAGTGAATAAAGATCAGTGTCCTCGATTAACTGGTGCGCGCATTCGGTAGGTCTTCATTTCTAACCCCACAGACACGGGCCGCAAGCTTAACATGTAACGGATCAGCGATAGTTTCCAAATCGATTACCATATTTTGTGTCCGCAAATAAAAATACACCTTCCTAAGCACATCATCTGAACAGATGCATCGTCATTCCCCTTTTACATACTTTTATTTCTTGCCTTTTCCTTGTTGATCAGGAGAGCTTCTGTTGCGTTCAAGTACCCCGAAACTCGGGAAAACAATTTTCAAATCTGAAGTTGTCAATTTAACTCTTCCGACATAGGCGAGGCTGCTGACAAAATCATTTCCCTTTCTTTAAAATAAAGCATAAAAATACAGAAGAAAAAAAATAATTAAGTCCAGGCAGGAAAAACTCTTAAAAACGTGAACTTATCACTAATTACCACAGGATATAAGGAAAAAACCAAAGACATACACTTTGCTTTTGTTTGATTTGTTGGTCCAGCTTTTGTTGGTTTAGTTATGGCAAGCTATGTTATCATAACATTGGCTTTGCCACACTTATCACTCCAGACATCTTGAGTCGTTTTTTGACTTGACATGGTTGTTAATTAATGTATCTGTATTTATATTTGTATTTATATATATATGAAAAACATTACCTACTATCTGAAAGGTATATTTGAGATATTACTGCTATCCATAAAATAAATCTGAGATATCTTCTTTGTTCTAAAAAAAAAACTATATATATAACAATATATATATATATATACTTTGTGAAAGGAGAAGAAAATGTACTATATTACAATACTGCTATATAGAAAATGAACTTGACTTCATTTGTACTTTTTTCAATAACACCAAGGCTGTGCGTCATCTGTTTCATGTACATTTAAGCAGATTTTGAGTCAGTGGTTCACATGACCCAAAAGCTATTGAAATAAAAATCTACATTTTGACAAAAGAGTCAAAACTGAATAAAGATTGGTGTGTCTCGTTTATATAATCTATTAGCAGAATTTACCTTGGTTTTGTTTGAGTTGGTCATAAGACAAGGAATGTATTTATTTTTATTTTTTGAAAGTGTTTGGTTTGAAAAAGTATTGACGGTCCCTAAGTGAACCACTGCGCCTGAGAAGAGGTAGCAATAGAGAGGGGATGGCCAAAGTCTGAGCTTTTTAGCCATAGCCAAATAGACTGAGATGTAGGTGGCGCAGGCTATGTAGAGCTTCAATATCCAATATCCAGCTTCAAATTACATTCACTATCTTCATTTTCTGAAGCAGTCTTCAAAGTTCTTGTTCTCCAGACATTCCATACTTCTTATCTTGTGATTAAGATATCAAAAGGTACGGAAGCGTATTGCATTCACCTAAGAAGAAAAAATTCTGACAGCTTATCTTACGAGATATTATCTCATAAATACGAGATCTTTTCTCATAATTACGAGATATCTCATAATTATGAGATA